GTGTCCCACAAGAAGGAGAGAGGAGGCGGGACCGAAAACAGCACCAAGCGCAGGCTCTGGGGCAGGAGGGAGCTGGAGGAAGAGGTCCTCAGCTGTGGAAGCAGGGGACAGGATGCTCCTGGGCTGCGGTTGAAGCAGATAGGAGGGCATTGGAGTCACTGGGAGTCTGTGAAAGAGCAGGAGGGCTGTTTGCTGGCTGGAAGGTGGCCTGTCAGTCTTTCATCTTCTCACTGAGGAGGGGGCTGTGGTGCCTCAGACTCAGGCCAGGTTGGACCCTGCCCAGCTGCAATTCCAGGAGGGAAAAAGATGGCCATGCAAGCGGTGTGGGGGTCCGATGTGGGGTCCGATGTGGGGTGGATAGGCAAGCTGAACAGCACTGTGCACTCAGACCTTCCTGATACCTGTGGCTTCAGATCCCGGCCCAGGCCTCCACAAGGAGTACTAAAGAAGCAGACAGATATGCAACTTGCTCCATTGTGAGGCTGATGGTAGATCAGGAATGTGCTAGGCACTCTGGGTTTGGATGAAGCAAGGATATGCAGTGTTAAGATCACAGACTGCCCTGTGGACTTCCTGCACTACCATAGAATGGCTGTGTGTCTTTGATCGAGAGACTGACCTCCCCTGTGCTTAGCTGTCTGTCTGTCAGGACCCAGAGAGGCCAATGTGAGTTAATACTACGGAGTGCTTGGGATGGTGCCTTCATAATAGTAAGCAGCATCTGGGGTTAGCAGTTACTATAATTACTTGAGACTGGTCTTGTGATTTGTTTGTGGGCACAGACCACAGTGTCCTGGCAGTGATACTATTGTGTGCTTCCTGTCTGGTGGGGCCACAAAACCCCAGAGCCCTGAGAAAGTAGATCAGATTGCCCACAGTTTTGGATGGGGTCTGGAGTCCTGCACAGCAGAACTGGCCACCCCTCCTGCCAGACAGCAGCGAACGTTAATGCCTGGGAAGGAGAAGATGGGCAGATTCGCAAAGGCAAAGTGATGGGCTGTGCTGGGGCGGCAGAGGTGCTGCTGCAGTGGGAATGAAGGATGGAGAGATGGGGTGCGAATGTGCGCAGGATCAGAGGAGAGGGCCAGCCATGCAGGAAGCCCAGGCCAGGCAGAGCCAGCTCTGAAGAGCGGGACAGCGTGGAGGTTTTCTGGTTGTCTGGGGATCTGAGCGCTCCAGCTCCTCTGGGTGCCTGGCACTGTGTCTGAGCTGGGACCCAAAGAAAGCGCCTTCCGATCATGAACTGCCGTCCTCTCCCCAAGCTGCTTGTCCGCCTCTCATCCCCAGACCTTTCAGGGAGTCAGTGCTCTGATGCCCCCACCGCCTTCCCCACAGCTACTTCGGCTTCATTACCAAACACCCTCTGCTGAGCCGCTTTGCCTGTCACGTCTTTGTGTCTCAGGAGTCCATGAGGCCGGTGGCGCAGAGCGTGGGGTGAGCAATGCCTGTGCAGGTGGGAAGGAAGCTTAGGGGAGGATTCGGGTCTCAAAGGGCACGGTGGTGTGCACAGCAACGCTGGGCTGGCGGGCAGAGTCAGATGGGGAACTGAGGCCCGCACCTCTCCCGCAGCCGTGCCTTCCTGGAGTACTACCAGGAGCACCTGGCCTACGCCTGCCCCACAGAGGACATCTACCTGGAGTAGCCGCCCGCACCCTCAGCTCCCACTCTACAGCTCCAGGACAGCTGCAGCCGGGGTGTCTCGGAGCCACCGTGGCTTTGGCAAGGACTGGACTGGGGGCACGTGGGGCCCCACGTCTATGGTAGTCTCTGGGCTGAGAACTCTCACCCTGCATCCCCAGGGCATAGCTGTGGGGTCCCAGCGGGTGGAGCCCCGGCGCCTCCCACTTCTCAGTGCATCCTTTCTGTTGTCCGCGCTCCTGACCCTCAGTCTCCCCTTTCCTCCCTCTGTCTTTGCCCCTTTCTGTGCCTGCAGGCCTTGCCCTTTGCTCTCTATTTTGGGGTTAGAACCGGGCGGGGGGCGGGGGGAGGCGTGTGGAGGAAGGGAGGCTCAAGGCGGCCGGTGATGAAAGCTCCCCAGTGACCCCTTTCCATCCGTGCCCTGTAATTTATAAAGGAACTTTAATTTTTATAGTGAATCTCAAGGGGTCATCCCATCCTTGACCACAGGGACAGAGAGGGACCCATCCTTTAGGGAGCTGGGGGAAGCAGGGAGCAGTTCCTGAGGGAGTCTCGGGGTGATGAGGAGTGGTTCTTGGTGCCCACTGAAGCCCCCGTGCTGCTCAGAGGAGGGGCCCTGCCGGGCGCTGCCCGCTCATCTGCTTCGTCGCTACAGCCCCACAGTCCAGGAAAATCTGCCCGCGCGGGCACGCTGTGTACGTGGACCCTGCCCGTGGCCTCAATAAACTCTTGCTTGGTGTGAGCCTGCCTGTTTCTGGGGGTGCCGCCTGTGACAGGAGACATGGAGACCCCAGGGCTGTGGGGACGGAGCGAACCCTTAAGAACTGGAAGTCGTGCTGGGAGGGAGGTGGTGAGGCCTCCTTAGGGCTGGAGGCCCCAGGGAAGTCCCCACTTACACTTGCTTGGCGCGGAGGAAGCCAGCGCCAGAGAGAGAAGGCACTGGCTACAGCATCGAGTCCTCCCCATGTGAGGGTTGGGGACTGGCACGGACTCTTTGAAAAGCAATGCACAGTATTTAGATCTTAAAATTGATATTTTTAAAGTTCTGCACATAGGTGACTTTTTCACCATGCCTATAGATGACTCTAGGTGCCCCTCCAGTCTACTTTCCTGGAGCACCGATGATCCCCACATCCCAGCAGGGGTCAGCATGGCCAGGGTGACCCTGTGGGTGGGCCTGTGTCCCTTGCCTGACCCAGGAGTGGCAGGACAACAGAGGAAGGCTGGGAATGAAAGAGGTGGGAGTGCTGACAACTTTCTACACAAACATTTAAAAATACTGTGTGAAAATCACCCATCTCCCCTCAAATGTCTCGGTGAGCTAAATGGACTTTAGGATGTGCCAGCACAGGCTGAATGCGCCCAGAGTGAATGCGCCCACACGGGGGGACAGATCAGGAACACGTGGATGGTTGTGCACAGTGGATCTGCAGCATCTTATTCCCTATGCTGAAGCATCCCATGCATCCAAGAAGACAAGGAAGGACACCTCTCTATGAACACTTCCGCTGCTCCGACGATGTACAGAGGCAGGCGACCCTTGGGTGTGTGTGTTTGAAACCAGGCCTGGTGCCAGCCCTCAGGCTGGGCCAGCTGCACAAGGACCCTGTCACCTCTGCTCTTCTGCCCTGGCCAGCTGGGACTTCTCTGTGCCCAGCTGCCCTCTGTTCTCCCCGGGGCCCAGCCTGTTCCTCCAGTGTGTCCATGTGGGCACCCTCTCCTTGGGGCAGTGTTGGACGTGCCTGGTGCTCTTCCCAGTTGCCCCCACCGCCATGGTCCCTCTGCAGCTCTGGCATTTCCTGGAGCTTGGCTTCCTGCAGGCCTTCCTCAGGCTGGGTCCTGGGTCCTCTCACTGGCAGCATCCATCCTGTGCACTTGATTGGGTGGGCAGTGCTTCTACTATGTATTAACTTCTACTTCAACTGGTGAACAACCTGAACTGGGCAAGGGGGTGGTGCTTGTCTGTAAGGACACTGAAGTGGCCCAGGGGATGAAACAGTCACCTTGAACTCACAAGAGACTTTTCCCCACCTACCCTATTCACCTTGTCTGTGTTTGACATTTTTTCCCTAGTCACCTGATCTGCAGGCTGGCTGCTATCCCAGATTCCTCCTTCCTGTCACTCTCATCTCTGTGTTGTCACCCTGAAGTCTGTCCCTCACCCCATGCCCCCTCTCCTGGATCAAACCACCTTGAGTTTCCTCCTGGATCTTTGTGCAACAAACAGCCTCCTTGAGGCTCCCTGCCTCCACCAGCACCTGCAAACTGTCCTGCACTTGTACCTGCCTCTCACACTCTGCAGCTGCTCCCTGTGCAACCTCAGCCTGGCCCACCTCAGTCCCACACCTCCACCACTTCTGCCTGAGTTTTCCACGCACACCTGCCACCCTTCCCTGAATATTGCTGGGTGACCTGTCCTGCTGCGTGCCAGGGGCCTGGAGCTGTTGCAGCTGACTGCTCCCCTGTGCTATGATCCTGGCCTAGGCAGGAGGTTTCAGAGCTCTGTGATGCTTTCAACTCCACTGCTCTCGGCTTTTGGAAATCCAGCTGAAGGATAGTATCCTAAATACAAAGCTTTCTACAGAAAAGTGTTCATTGTATTCTTGTTTAAAATAATGAAAGTGAGGGCCAGCGATTTAGCTCAGTGGTTCCAGTGCCTGCCGTGCAAGCGCAAGGTCCCAAGTTCGATCCCTGGTACAAAAAAAAAAAAAAAGGAAAAAAAAAACAATGAAAATGGGCTGGAGCTGGAGCTCAGTGGTAGAGCATGTGCCTAACAGGTTCAATCTCCAGCACCCCCCCAAAAGTAAGAAATAATGAAGGCGTAAGAATATCTAAATATTGATCAACAGGGTTCAATAAATTAAATATTTTACCCAGTCTAAATACTGGGTCTATGAATGTTTTGGCACAGGCCTGTTGTCCCAGCATCATGGGAGGCTGAGGCAGAAGGTTTGCAAGTTCAAGGCCAGCCCAGGCAATTTATTACAAAAGGCTGGAGATGTAGCTTAGGGGTAGAGCACTTGCCTAGCCTGTGATCCTCAGTACTGCACACAAAAAAAGAAAATATGCAAAATCACACAGAGTATACTAGAGACAGTGTTGGAAATGACTGAAACAGGAAAAACAATTTGAAACCACTGGCCCTTCACTTGGCCCGTGCTGGTGTCTAATGGGTAATCACCTTCTGCTATGGAAGAGCAAGAAATCTTCGGATCACAGTAGCTGTTCTGAACACACGTCCTGCACAGGGGCCTGATGTGTGACTGCTCAGACCACCAACCCCTGCCCCTCCCCACCTCTAGCTTCTCCACACCTCGGAGGACCCTGTTTCTTTACCACACACCCCTTGGTCAGGGAGACAGATGGGAGGCTTGGAGCTTCCCTCCTCCCCACATTTGGCTGCCTCATGAATAAACTGTGAGGGTGAATCACTGCCAGAGGTGAGGTTGAGGGTATTTCTCTTCCTTTTTTTCTGAGAATTGTCTTAGTTGTCTTTAGTGTGATATGTTGCACATTAGAGACCTTCAAGCGCAGAGGGGATGCAACTCAGTGATGGGGTCTTGCCTAGCATTTGTAAGATCCTGGGTTCATCCCCATCACTGCACTAAATCAATCAATCATCAGTAAAGGAGAGAGAAGAAAGGTTAAAATCAATATAGTTTTACAACCCAAGTTGAGTGCTGCTAATCTTGGTGTATTTTTCTAATCTTTTTGCTACATGTGAGCATTTCCATTTTTAGCCTGAATTTTTTGTTTGTTTGGGTTTTTTTGGTCCTGGGAATCAAACTCAGGACCTTGTGCTTGAGAGGCAAGTGGCAGCACCACTGAGCTAAATCCCTGGCCTCTCAATTTTTGTTTTTCTTTTTGTGAGACTGGGAGTTGAATCCAGGGCCTTCATGTGAGGGACTTGGCTGAGTAGTAAATGATTAAAATGCAACGCACACCGGCTCTATGAGGAGCGAATGGTTAAACTACAGGGCAAAAAGCACACAGGCTGTGTGAGAATTGAATGGTTAAACAAGTTCAGGTCAGCGAGGCATGTTGTGCCTGGCCGTGTCCTTCCCCTTTCCCCAGAAAAAACCGCCTAGCCTTGAGACAGCTCCTTGCCCAGACTGCTTTTCTTCTGCTTTTTTCTCTTACACTGATATTTTAAACAGAAGCCAGAGAGTTCTTGACTTCGGGGCTTTTTCTCCAGGGAGTCTAATGATGGGCACTCTTGGTTGAGACAGCCCCTTTCGACCTCTCGGTAAGTGAATTAAGTCTTGTCTCTAAGTAATCATTCGTCCCCTATGCTGCCATGGTTGGGCACTGAGACACCTTCACATTGAGGTGCACCCTCCAGCCATTTTTCATTTTTTATTTTGAGGCAGGTCTTGCTAAGTTGTTAACTTGCCCAGGCTGGGCTCGAACTCGTGATCTTTCTGCCCCAGCTTCCCTGAGCGTGGGCTTCATATATTTTTAAATCATGTGTGGCAAGGAGGAGAAAAACATAATCAAAGGAATGGATTTTAATTTCCCTTTACAACAAAACATAAATCTGAAAAAAAGATATGCAAACAAATAGATCTGAAAATTAATAAGCTAGAACAAATATTTGCTTTTCAACAAGTGGACTGAAAATAGGTGTGACGGCAAGAATCCCAGGAGACCAGCCAAGCAGGCTGGAGGGGCAACTGCTGGCTTCCTGCTGGCAGTGTCCCTAAGGACGCAGGTTCCTACCTTTGTCCTGTGTCTTGAGTGAGGAACTTTTGCCCTCGGGGTTGCACGAGTGCTGCTGTACCTCCAAGCACATGCTCAAGTTCGGGCAGGAAGATGCGCAGGTGCAGAGGGGCAGGTGCTGCCTTCCCAGAAGCTTCACCAGGAGCTGGAGTGAGCTGTGGCCCAGAGCATCAGGGATGGAGGGAAGTCAGACGGGTGCCCTCCCCAGGGTTGGGTGACCCCAAATGCTTCACCTGCTGGGTCGGAAGCAGCATACCCCTGTCTGAGATCCTTTGAGACTATCATAGGGACAGAGAGCAGACAAATTACCTGGCCCTTAGTGGCACTCATTAAATGCAAGATTTGTGTCTTGCTCTGAGGTAGGGTATTAACAGATGCTTTTGCTAAAGAGCAGTGACTGTTCACTTGGGACAACAGACACCCAGTGGCTCACTAAAAGCAGAACAAAGCTTGACTTTTATTTCTTTTATGCTTTGTTACCTTAAGACTTTAGGTCAGATCTTTGCTCATAGGCGTATTAATCATTTAGGGGGTGTCTGTCTCAAAGCTGGCAGTACAAGGTTGAGTAGCCCTAAATTTATATAACCTATCTCACCCTCCTTCAAGACTAAGGACATCAACAGGCACCCAGAGTTTACAGTCATTGCCCTAAACCTGTGCTTACCTTAAATTTCAGCAGAGCCTCTGAAAAACTGAAACTTCCTCAAGTAGACACAATCATCTCCTGAAGACTGATTGCCTTTTCGAGTGATAAGGGCTTCTCCAGAGTCATCTTGCAAAACAAGAACTGAGAAAACAATAAAGCTCACCACAGGCACTTAATAAAAGTTAGTCTCATTCCTTTGTTCATGGATCAGTCTGATCTCCTTTAGGGCTGTGCCGCCTTCAGCTCCTCAAGCTGAGGTTGCTTCCCATTTTCTTTTACTTTCTAACTCTGCCTAATAAATGTGCCTATGTCTTGCATTGATGCACCCTGCAATGCCAGCTTGGGTAACTTATCAAGACCCTTTCTCAAAAAGTAAAAAGGCTGGAGATGTAGCTCAGCAGTAGAGTGATGCTGGGTTCAGTATCCAGTACTACACAAAGAAGGAGGAGGAGGAAGAGGAGAGGAAGGAGGAGGAGAAAGCAGAAGCGGGGAAGAGGAGAAGGAGGATGTGTTAGTTACTTTCTCTCTCTCTTTTTTGGGGGGAGGGGTTGGTCTCACTATGTAGTTCAGGCTGGCCTGGAACTCATGGTGATCCTCCTGCCTCTACTTCCTAAGCACTGGGATTACAGGCATGTGCCACCATGCCCAGCTATTTACTTTCTTGTTGCTGAGACAAAATACCCAACACTCAAAGTTAAAGGAGGAGAGGTTTATTTCGCTCCCAGTTTGTAGAGGTTTCAGTCCCTAATTGGCTGGCTTCAAGGCAGGGTGGCATGGCAGACAGGCCTTGCAGAGGAAAGCAGTTCATGGTGAGCAGAAGGTAGCAAGAGCAACAAGGGACAACCACACCTCTTTCCATCCCTTATACTTTATCCAGGATTCTTAGGGCAGGTAGCACTCACACCCTTAATCCTAATGCCCTAATCAACTCCAGGTCACACACTCTAGATCCAGCCACCTCTGAAAAGCCCCACCTATGAGTGTATGAGGCTTTGTGGGGGAACATCTAGACACGGCCATAACAGGGGAAGAAGAAAGGAAAGGAGAGAGAGAGAGAGAGAGAGAGAGAGAGAGAGAGAGAGAGAGACAAGAAGGGAAAGAGGAAGGCACAGAGAGCAAAATCTTCAACCAAAAGCTTGGAGAAGATCCTCTGCACAACAAGCAGGGAGTTGAAAGTCCTTCATGCAAGGGTGAGGTTGATCCTGAAGTGATTGGCACCCCCAGAAGAGAGGACAGGACACCAGGGAATGTTGCCTTAATGCTGAGCAAAGTGCACCACACCCCTGAGGAGCAGGTGTGGACATAGATTTTACTGGGTTTGGGGATGCTGGAGCCTCCTTCTAGAGGTGCTTTCTAGGCTCTTTCTGTCCCGAGTGAAGAATTGTTCCAGACAAATGCAAAAGGTAGCAGCAAGGTTTTACATTTTTTAATGTAGGAAAAGAAACAGGCTCTGCAGAGTGAAAAAGTAGGGGAAAAGATACACTGTATAGCACGAGAGTGACTGCTAAGCTCAAAGCTGACTGATCTTTTTGTATCACCCACTCCTTGGGCAGGCATCAGGTCTAGGCCACCCTATGGAAAACCTGCTCCAGTTCTCATGAGAACTTGTGCAGGCTTTGGGGGACTGTTCTGCACATGGGATTTTGTGATTAACAGGTCATGCCCACTTCTCCAGCTGGCTTTGCTATGCCCTAGTCTCCTGCTTCATAGGTATGGTGGAGACAGGTCCAGATGGGAGGTAAGTGTGGAAAGGATCAGCATGCAACTCAGGGCCTCTCCCAGGAGCTGAGACCCATCTTACAGCATCGGTATAAAACTCAGCTTTCAGCCCTGGGTGGGTAGAATTTCCTGGCTCCTGCAGCACCCAAATCTCTGAGCCAGGCTTCAGAACCCAAAGTCAGCCTGTCTGAGCCTGATGAGCCCTCATAGGGTAAGCAGAAATGCCCTCTTACACAAACAGCTTTGCAGGAAGGAGAATGAAACAATGCAGACCCATCGGTGCAGTGAGCCTTGCCTATAATCGCAGCACTCTGGGGGCTGAGGCAGGAGGATCACATATTGGAGCTCAGCCTGGGCAACTTAGTGACTTAGTGAGATTTCATCTCAAAAAAATCCAAAAAAACCCAGTGATGTAGCTCAGTGCGAAGACCCCAGGTTTAATCCCCAGTATGCAGAGAAATTAAAGAAAAAAATGGAGCCCCTCAAAACAGCCACAAAACACAGCTCTGACCATTGTTTGAGCTGATGACAAAATGATGATTTTGCTGGGTTTTTTTCTGGTTTCCTTTGTGCTGGAGACCCCTGTAGTCAGGTTCCAGTACCCACCTGCCCAGTATGCGATGCAGGCCTGAGAAAAAGAATATACTAGGAGACAGAACTATGAGAGAAAGAGGGATGCCAGGATGACCAATGCCCGTGCAACTGACAAAGGCGCTGGCCAGGCCCAGCACTGACTACAATTGGCAATCAACTGGGGTAAAGGTGACCTGTGGTTTCTATGGAAATTAATGTAAACAAGGCTCATAAAGGACAAGGCAAAGCATTCTCGAATTAGGAACAGAATAGACAAAATATATGATTGTAATTGGAACATTGTCCTTCTACTCTGAAGATTTTAGTTGTGGGAATGGAATTTGGGTGCGAGTTACTCTGACCTTGACACGTAGGCTTCAGCCAGACTCACTTCTATAAACAAGCCAATTGTGGGGTTAGCTCTTCACACCGTCTTCGGGCATGATCAGTATTACGGTCCTCTGCACCTCTGTGCAGCTGGGGGCAGCCGCTTGTTTACCCCGAATGTAGAGGCAATTTAGCGACTTAGACTCTGTCCCAAAACTAAAAAAAAAAAGAAATTTAAAGGCTGGGGATATAGCTCAGTAGGAAGGCCCTGCGTTCAATCCCCAGTACTGGGATTAAAAAACAACAACAAAGCAAAACCCAGAAGAGGCAAATGTAAGCAACCACATATTCCATGGAACGGTTCTTGGCTCCCTCTTCTGGTCACTTGCGGGATGAGTGAGCCTGGAAGGAAGATGGTTGAAGGACAGGGCGGGGAGAGGCGCGAGGCAGGAGTGCAGGTGCTGTCCGGCCTCTGCCAGTCACTTGGGCCCCAGATGCCTCCTCTTCCTCTCTGGTGCCTGAGTGGAACCACATAGGACATCACATTTTTGTTCTGTCCATTCCAAGTGCCCCTCCAGAAGGGCTCCTTGAGGAAGATGCTCTCTGGGAATGACAGTCACCAGCGGGCAATAGATTATCTGATGCTCATAGAGAAAGGAGTTTTTTTTTTTTAAATCAACAGTAGAGAACAAAGGGGAGTTACAATAACATGAGCGTGCACATGGATGTATGTGCGTGCATGGACATGTCCAGGTGCATTATATCTAGCATTATATCTAGCAGTCATCTATGCCTGTATGAGGATGCATTGGGCTAAAACAGGGATGAGAAACATGCATTTATGCATGCAAATAAATTGTAGCAAAACTGAAAGAACAGGAGGGTGGGAAGACCTGGCTCTCTCTGCAACTGTTGGTGCCTAGGGTGGGTTTGAGCACCCTGTCAAGATACTAGCTGGGAAGCATCCCTGACAGGCTCAGTTGTCTGCCTACCCTGCTCCATGATTGTGCTCTGGTATAACCAGGAACACTCTTCCTTTGAAGCACTTATCACAGATTTCTATTGATGAATAAAATACACAATGACATCACAAAGTACACAAATCCTATGTGGCCTGATTGCTTTATTCATATGTGTGCCCCATGTCACCAGCCTGTAATATGGAGAACATCTGGGTGTCCCTGCCCAGGCAATACCTGGTTCCCTCCCCACAATAGGTAGTGACTCTTATAGCACTGGAATCCCATGTACATCTGAAGGGGTTTAGGCTGACCTCTTTTGCTAGACTGTAAACACAGTGGGAACAAGGGAGGGAGGCCTCCTTGGAGGCTGCCTTGCTCCAGCACTGCCTGGCAAATGAACATGGTTAGCACCGTGAACACACTACCCCAGTGAAGGGGGCTGGAACAGGGGCCTGCAGGTTGTGCCTGGGTGTTTTTATTCATTTAGTTTTGCAGGAGGATTCTTTTTTTTGGTACCAGGGATCGAACTTGGGACCTTTTGCTTTCAAGGCAGGCGGCAGAACCACTGAGGTAAATCTCCCCGGCCCCCAGGATTTGGTCTTTTGATGTGATACTTGGATCATGCATTTGCTTCAGTTCCTCTCTATGCTCATCAGAAACCGAGGCACTCATCAAGGTGTGTGGGCCTCTCTGGGCCAGCATCACTGGCTAGTGGGGCCACCCAAGATGCAGCAGGACTTGGGGTGTGGTCAGCACGGCCCTCAACCAGAGTAGAAGCGACCCAGTATATGTCTCACAGATTTACACACATACACATGTCCACCACATACCCCATTCAGGTCTCATTCCAGCAAGGCCACTTTTTGCTGCAAGTAACAGACACCACCCATTTTCTTAGACAGGCAGGGTTTATTTCCTTACACTCTGCTCTGCAGCAGGCATCTGGAGACTCTGTGGGTTAGCAGCTGTACAGTGTCCATCCAGGGCCATTGACTCAGCCACAGCCAGGCCCTCACAGGGAGGACTGCCCCAACCTTTCACTACCAGGACCAATCATGGGCTTGTGACTGGCTCAGACTGGGAGGTGGAAATGCCTTCTGCTGTTGGAGGTGAAAGTGCCTCTATCCACCACTGAAAAATGTGGGGATCCATTAGTAAGGAAGACAACAGAAAATTTACCACATGGACATATCAGTACAGCCAGATGACACTGCACCCATGTGGCCAGCACTGAGAGTCCCCTGGCTTGGGACATGCCACCTGGCCATGTACTGAAATCAGCACACTAAGCTGTGCAATTGCAGGCAGGTGGTCAGAAGGACCCTCTCCCCTAGGAAGCCAATTATGGAGGCAGACCATTGTTGGGAGGAAGCCAGTCAGCCTACCAAGACTGAAGGTCAGGGGGGTGCCATGGGGCCCTGAGAGTAGGGGAAGACACTGAAAGAAGTTTGCGTTTTATTCTGAACATGATGGAACCAACCAGACAGATGTCCATGCAACATCATTTTGTCTGCTGGGCAGAAAATGGCTAGTACTGGATCGAAGGTGAAGCCAGGAGACAGGAAGTACAGGTACAGGCAAAATGTAGAGCTCTGAGAGGGGAAGGGGCACCAAGGGGCTGACTCGGGGTTGCTGAGACACCAGGGGCCCCTTTGCCCCTCCTCACACCACCTGGAACATGCAGCTCATTACCTGATCCAGACGTGCTCCTGACAGGAACCTAGGTGGCCAGTTCCTCAGAGAATGTTTCTTCCAGGAAAATCTGCCTGTCCCAGGAGCTCTGTATTTTCACTCCTCTCTGGCCACTATGCTGTCCAGCCCTGCCCCACCCTCAGTCCTGCACTTACTGTGGCTGTGTGGATGTGTCCAGACTCCAGGCAGACATGTGTACACACTGACATGCACGGATCACCAGGGAGGGGCAGCTGGGAGGCAGGACCCCTGGGCTCAAATCCCAGCACAACCTCCTTCTGGCTGAACGACCTCTGACAAGTCACTGAACTGCCCAGTGCCTTAGTTTCTTCACTGGTAACACAGGGGTGCAGCACTGACCTCACAGTCGTAGCAAGGATTAGATGAATGCTCACACCTCCAAGTCTCAGCTGGTATAATTTCATTATCAACACAAACTACCTCCACATGCCTGGACCCCTCCCTTCACAGTGCCCAGGGCCAGGAGATTTGGGGGAATTCTCCTGTGGTCTTGGCCAGTGCCCTCAGGGCTTCGGGTCTGGGCAGTAGCAGCAGGCTGGGTGGGGGGTGCAGCTGGGCTTGCAGCAGATCTGCAGGCCAGGGTCATCACCCCGGGACACCTGGCTGGGGCCGAAGGTCATGGCTGCATCAAACCGGGCCTTCAGCAGTTGAAGGTGCTTCATCGCTCCCAGTGCCTCTGGGGTAACGTCAGCCTCAACCTCCAGAAGGTTGTAGTTCTCACCAGGGTCCTCAGATAAGTCATAGAGCAGTGGGGGCTCATGAGCGGTCAAAGGGCTGCTGGCATGGCAGGCAGGGTCTGGGGTAGTATCGCTGTGCGTAGAGCCTGGGGAGGGGTCAGGTGTGGGCACAGGGCAAGAGCAGGGGCCAGGGCTAGGGGCGGGCACTGGGAGTCAGCAGGGCTGGGGTAGGGCAGCCAGAGAGAGGGAATTACCCTGAGTGAAGAAGTGAGCCTTATACTTCCCACTCCGCACAGCGAAGACCCCACGGACCTCGTCTGGGAAGGCCGGGTAGAAGAAGAGAGACTCCCGAGGGCTCTGGGGGCAGAGTCAGGGTCAAGGGGTGGGAGGGCCTTTGGCTGTCACCCTTTTTGGCCCACCCAGCCACCTCTTGAATGTCATTCATCAAAGGAGATGCAAGATGCAGATACCCCAGGCACTGCCACTCTTACCCCAGGAGGACAAGCTGGACTGAGGGGCTGCTAGCCCTACCTTGCCTGAGCCCAGCAGCACAGGGCTGAGGTCCACACCATCTAGGGTGACATTGGGCAGGGGGGCACTGCTCAGGGCTGCCAGAGTGGGAAGCAGGTCCAGGGAGCTGGCCAGCTCATGGGTCACACCTGGGGCCAAAGGGCTGCTTGTTACTCCACTTTCCAGCAAGGTTGGACAGGCAGGGCCAGGAGCCCAGGAGGAGAGGGCCGACAGACTGACCTGGAGTGATGTGGCCTGGCCAGAAGGCCACAGCAGGCTCTCGGACACCACCCTCGAAGGTCGTCCCCTTCCCACATCGCAGGAGGCCAGAGCAGCCACCACGTGACATGCGCATGGTCTCAGGCCTGGGACACACAAGAAAGTCATTAGCAACAAGGGCCCAGGGCCTTTGATTCACTACTTCTGAGTAAGCAACAGATCCACACTTCTGAGTTTCTTGCCCTGAAATGGCCAGCGCATGCCGGTCCCCTCTGGCTTACCAAGACCTCGGTTTACCTGTGGCCCCCTACCTGAGATCTAGAGGTCACTGTAGGGACAGAATCTCCACAGTGCCCCTCACGCCACAGCACCATCAGAGCCCTGGCAATCAGTGCCCTGCCTGGCTGCATACCCGTTGTCAGCAGTGAAGATGACCAGCGTTTCTCCCAGCAGCCCCAGGTCACCTACAGCCATCATCAAGGCCCCCACGGCTGCATCCAGCTCCATCAGGGAATCCCCAAATGGCCCTCGGCCCGAGCTCCCCACGAAGCTCTGCCCACTGAACTGAGGGTAGTGGGTGTGCTGGGGACAGAAACAGGACTCAGCCTTGGTGAGCATCACGGGCAGTGGGGAGGGCAGAACTGGGATACTCACGTGGGAGGCGTAGTACAGAAAGAATGGACGACCTTGGTGCTGGGCATCAGCCATGAGGTCTCGGGCGAAAGCCACATAGCGGGCCTCTAGTCCAGGCAGCCAGGGGGGCTGAACCTCCACAGACAGATTGGCCAGCAGTGGGATGGGAACCAGCCCCTGGTCACAGACACCATCACAGCGGGTGGCCGCTGGGAAGCAGGTCAGGTTCTGGCAGGGGCCCTAGGAGGACAGCTCCAGTGAGGGGTCTGGGCTGTGGGGTGGGCTGGGGGCACTGATGATCCTGGTGGTTCATACCTGGTCATGGGAGTACGGGATGCCCAGGAATCGATGGAAGCCCTGATGGGGGGGCAAAAAGGCCCCCCTTGGCCCCACCCCAAGGTGCCACTTGCCAGCCATCCCTGTAAGGTAGCCACGGGCAGCTAGGACCTCAGCCAGGGTCACCTCCTCCAGGGGCAGCCCTCCCTGGGATGTGGGACCCAGAACTCCAGGGTACATGCCCGTCCGCACGGGAAGCCGGCCAGTCAGGAGGGCAGCCCTGTAGGGACAGGTCAGGAGCCCAGTGAATCCAATGGAGATGAACTTGGAAGAAGGGAGAGAGGGGAGGGAGAAACTGGGACTCCCCAAAAGAGGCAGCTCTCTCCTCCCACACTACAGTCCTGAGTGTCTCCGGGAGGAAGTGGATCAGCAGGGGTCGGGGTGCGGGTGAGGCTTCTTTGCTTACCGGGAGGGTGTGCACAGAGACACAGGCACGTAGAAGTTTGTGAACCGCAGCCCCCCTGCAGCCAGCCGGTCCAGGTTGGGGGTGGTAGAACTAGGGTGCCCATAGGCGCCCAGGTCCCCATAGCCCAGGTCATCAGCAAAGATCAGCACAATATTCGGAGGGCTGGTAGTGGCCAGGCTTGCAGCCCAGGCCACACAGAGGGCCCAGAGGGCCTCCATGGAATGGAACAGACAGGATTACTTCCAGAGACCCTTGGGGAGGAGGGTAAACTGGCTCCTTCAGGCTCTCCTCTCTTCTGAGGCCCAGGGCCTAATCCCTGACCCTGATCCTTCCCTCCCCTGAGAACCTAGAATCCAACCCTACGCTCTCCTGGGACCCCAGACCCCTGGCCTCCCCTCCTTTAAGACTCAGACCGTTGTCCCTCCCTTCCCAAGACTCTTGGGCTCCAAGACTCTTCCGAGCCCACTTCCCGAAGCACCAGCGAACCTGAGAGCACCGAGGCCCGCTGTGTCACTTGCCAGAGACCTAAAAGGACCAGGACCACTGCAGGTTCTCGCGCGCGGATCTGGCCGCGGTCGCTCCAGGATCTGGCTCAGGCTCAGGGTACAGGCAGCCACAAGACACTGACCCGCGGGCTCAGTCTAGCACTTAGTCCTAGTTCTGCACCCAGCGGGACTAGGACGGTGCTGGAGCGGGGAAGGCAGGCAGGGAAGCGGGGTGCAAGCGTCCTTCCGCCTCAGACAGAGTTCGGCCGAAAGCGCTCAGCCCTGAAGACCGCCTGGGGGGCGGGGAGGGGGCGGGGAGAGGGCGGGCGGGGCGGGGCCTGATGGAAGCGGAGCGG